AGGTCTTCAAACCACACTATCTGCCACAATAAACTCCAAATGGGTGAAAGCAAGGGCTCTTAGTTCACAGATGGATAAGATTCCAAGAAACCCTGACCCTTTCAGGAGATTTTCAGTGGAGCCTGTAGCCCCGGAAGAAGCACTAAATTAAAGACATGGGTGTGAAAACTCAATGGGTGGGAATTTGCAAATAGTGAAGGACTTCAGAGCTTAAAAGCATTTAAGTAAACCCCAAAGGGAAATAGGGAGCTATCAAAAAATAAACTTAAGTACATTAAAAAGTAAATTTAAAAGAAACCAAAAGAAGTTTGCAATAAATATGACAGGAAAGAGGTTAATACCCCACATAAATCAAAAGTGCATGCAATTATTAAAACCTAGTAAAAGGTGACTATAGGACATGAATCCATTCACAGAAGAAGACAAAAAATACTCAGCATCCCCTAGTGATCAAAAGCCTTCAAATTAAAACAAAAAAATGTGTTTTTATCAAGGAAAAAATTTAAAATACTAACGTGCAGGATTAGCAAGTGTTAGACATGATAGACGTCTCAATGAACTGGTAACAAGCACACTGGACAGATGGACCACATACTGGTTACTGTGAAACTAATGTCCATGTTATGTGTCAACTATACTCAAAAAAATTTTAAAAAGAAAACAGTCTTAGGAAAATGCATGCCCTTTGAGTCAGTAACTTGGCTTTTAGAATTCAAGGGGAATAATCTCATTTATGTTTATGGTTGTTCTTCATGTTGTTTATACTTAGAAAAATAAGCTATCTAAATGTCTTATTTTTAGGGGCACTTGGCTGGCCCAGTCAGTTAAGCGTCTGACTCTTGATTTCATCTCAGCCATGATCTCCAAGTTCATGGGATCGAGCCCCATCGGGCTCCACACTGACAGTGCGGAGCCTGCTTGGAATTCTCTCTCTCTCCCCCTGTCTCTCTGCCCCTCCCCTGCTCCCACTCTTTCTCTCTCTCTTCCCCTGTCTCTCTCTCTCAAAATAAAAAAGTAAAACTTTAAAAATTAAAAAATAATAAATGTCTTATTTTTTTAATGTTAAATTATATATCCATATGGTATGGTACTATATATTCTTTACAAACTATATTTTTTTAAATGTTTAATGGCATAGGACAACGTTCATGATAACATGGAAAGAAAAGTACTGTCCAGATGTGCATATATCATAATGAGAAACACATCTATGCACAGTAAAACTGAGAAATACAGGGGTGCCCGGGTTGCTCAGTTGGTTGAGCATCCGACTTCGGCTCAGATCGTGATCTCATGGTCCGTGAGTTCGAGCCCCGCGTCGGGCTCTGTGCCAACAGCTCAGAGCCTGGAGCCTGTTTCCGATTCTCTGTCTCCCTCTCTCTCTGATCCTCCCCTGCTTATGCTCTATCTCTCTCTGTCTCTCAAAAATAAATAAATGTTAAAAAAAAAAAAAAACCTGAAAAGTACAGCAAAAAGTTAAGATTTATTGTCTTTGGATGATTTTTATTTAATGTCTCTTTGTATTTTCTAAATTCTCAAGTATATGCTGATATTATCTTACTGAAAATGTATTTTTAAAAATGTATGTAGGTAGTTGACGAATGTATTCTGGTTTTTAGAGACTCAAGCAGTACAGCAATACAGAAGGACATAGGATAAAAAGCAGATATTCTTCTCAGCCCTCTCATCCTACTTTTCTTCCCAGAGGAAACCAGTGTGAAATAATTCAGGGGCACCCTTTCAGATTATTCTCAATTACAGTCGCTTGTTGTAAAGTTAATGGTGTGGTCTCAAGCTTAGTCTGAAAGGAACTATTCACTAAACATATGCAAGTTACTTTACAGTTTTCTGTCTAATGGATCATGCAGGTAACACTTCTTTCAGGGGTAAATAAGACTCCTGAGTAAATAGCAGTAATCAGTTGAGAAATCTGAACATCCACCGGAAAAAACAACCTTAAAATAGAAATCCAAAAGGGTTGACCTTGGGCAAAAGACTTTTATTCTGTCTCTTTTTTTTTTAATTCATTTATTTTCTGCCGGCCTGCTTTTGTCTGTGCACTCAGCTCTGCCTGCCTTATCTGTGACTGGATTAAAGTCTTAGCAGATTAATAATAGAAACCTGGGACCTTCACCAGCACTATTCTCTGCTTGTTTCACGCTCATATCCAGAGAGGCGAATCTTACATATCTTCTGTCTATATTTCAAGTACAAACAGAGATTGGTTTTGTATTAACTGCCGACAAGAAATGCACTGTTTGGCTATATCTACTGAAATATTTTCAGATGGTCATAAATTACGAGGTTTTCAAACTGGACAGACTGGACCCCGAGGAACACAAAGACCCAAGCCAGTGGGGCATTTAATTAAGCAGCAAGGACTTTAGGCCTCACAAACATTATTTCAACCAAAGCACAAATAATTAAGATACAGAACCATTGTTCTAGACCCATTCTTGTTTATGTGGATATGTCTACTGGCATTTACCATGTTATAAATTAAAACTGGGAAATTGCTTAAATACTCATTTTTAAAGTGATAAAATATTTTTATGAAAATTTAGTGAGAAGAGTGACATTATTCTACCTTTTTGGTACATTTCTTTGGTTTAGAGACCACCTAGATCCTCCTGTCGGCTGCTGCACTGGGTCTGTACACACTTGAGAGAAGGAAGATGAAATAACATCTTGGTATTAATATTAAAATGATTTTAATCTCAGAGTCGCCCTGCAAGGGTCTTGAGGGGCTCCAGACCATACTTTATTTTTCTTTTAACGTTTTTTATTTATTTTTGAAAGCACGATCACAGAGAGAGAGGGACAGAGGATCTGAAGCTGGCTCTACACTTGTAGAGCCCCATGTGGGGCTGGAACTCACAAACGGCGAGATCATGACCTGAGCCGAAGTCGGATGCTCAGCTGACTGAGCCACTCGGGTGTCCCTAGACCACACTTTAAAAATCACAGTTAAAGGGGCGCCTGGGTGGCTCAGTTGGTTGAGCGTCCGACTTCAGCTCAGGTCATGATCTCGCGGTCCGTGAGTTCGAGCCCTGCGTCAGGCTCTGGGCTGATGGCTCAGAGCCTGGAGCCTGCTTCCATTCTGTGTCTCCCCCTCTCTCTGCCCCTCCCCTGTTCATGCTCTGTCTCTCTCTGTCTCAAAAATAAATAAAATGTTAAAAAAAAATCAAAAAAAAATCAAAAAAAATAAAAATCACAGTTAGGGGCACCTGAGTGTCTGACCCTTGATTTCAGCTCAGGTCATGATCCCGGGGTCATGAGATCGAGCTCTGCATCAGGTGCTTCACTGAGCATGGAGCCTGCTTAAGATTCTCTCTCTCCCTCTTCCTCACCCCTCCCCTGCTCGTTCTCTCTCTCTCTCCCTCCCTCTCCCCATCCCCACTCTCTCTCACTTTCTAAAAAATAAAAATACAGTTATAGAGGCTCCTGGGTGGCTGAGTCAGTTGAGTATCCAACTCTTGATTGCAACACAGGTCATGATCCCAGGGTCAGGAGATCGAACCCTGCGTCCAGCCCTGCGCTGAGCATGGAGCCTGCTTGGGATTCTCTCCCTCCCTGTTTTCTCTGCCCCTCCCCTGCTCCCATGTGTGCAAGTGAGCTCTCTTTCAAAGTAACATTTTTTTTTCTAAGTTCTAAAAAACGCTATTAAACTGCCAAGTATTTTCAAACTTTATTGCTCATTTTCACTGTGCAGATAGTTATAAATCTTCTTTGCTAGATTTTATGCCCAGTAGTGGTGAGATTACTAAAGGATCAGTTTGCACATCAGTGAAATTATGGTTTAAGATTAATTATTGTCTTTGTTTCTTCCTTCCCTCAGGTGCATTTGGTGTCAGAAAACGGTACATGATGAGTGTATGAAAAATAGTTTAAAGAACGAAAAGTGTGATTTTGGAGAATTCAAAAATCTCATCATTCCACCAAGTTACTTGACCTCTATTAATCAGATGCGTAAAGACAAAAAAACAGATTATGCGGTGGTAAGCCAAGTTCATGTAATTGATTTTCACAAAGCTGCCCGAGTCCCTGTGTGACACTTAATGGTGGCCTTGAGGGAAGAATCATTACCGTGGGCTGCAGAGCCCTGCCCAGTGTTTAGAGCTGTGCCACCAAGTTCGGCCCTTGAGTCCTTTCACATCTAAAGGGAAATTGGAGGGGCGCCTGGGTGGCGCAGTCGGTTAAGCGTCCGACTTCAGCCAGGTCACGATCTCGCGGTCCGTGAGTTCGAGCCCCGCGTCGGGCTCTGGGCTGATGGCTCGGAGCCTGGAGCCTGTTTCCGATTCTGTGTCTCCCTCTCTCTCTGCCCCTCCCCCATTCATGCTCTGTCTCTCTCTGTCCCAAAAATAAATAAAAAACGTTGAAAAAAAAATTTTTTTAAAGGGAAATTGGAAATGTTATATTACTGGTTTCTAAATCCCTGCCTGCACCTGCATCACTTGGGGAGCTTTTTAAAAATGCAGATTCCTGACTCCACCTCCATCACCAGGTTTGATTAGGAGGTCGAGGGTAGGTCCCAGGAATCTGTATTTTTCTTTAAGGTCCTCAGACAATTCTGATAAACAGCCAGATTGGAAATTATTTATCATTATCAGTGAAAAGAAAACAGGGATTTTGCTCACACATTGTTCTAACAGAATTTTTCTATTCGGAACTTTATGTTATTTAGAGCATTAGATGCTCCAACAAATAATTTGAACTTTAAAGCTGTCAACACTTCGCAGCATGTATGTGTGTAGAAACTGATCTAAATGTATCTTTCAGTCTTTATGTGGTTCTTAAGGGATAACTGTAAAAATTTGCATTTATTTCCTACTTGAATATGCCAAAATAGTTGAACTATTTTATCTTGAAATTCAGTTTTGTGTCTTTTCCAAGTTAGGATTTTATTTTATTTTATTTTATTTTAGGGTTTTATATCTTAAATGTCATCTTTGACAGTAGTCCTGCCAAAGAAAAAGGCATTTAAAAATTTTTAAATATTATGTTTAATGTTATGGTACATATTTTTTAAACGTACATACAGTGCCTTAATGTGTCTGATTTCAATCTAAGATCATAAGGGGTGAGAATCACTAAGTAAAACTGTAGAACATCATCTTTGTTCACATCCACAAGGAGAAGGGAGAGGAGAGAAAGGGTTAGGTTAGAGAAATACGAATTTCATTTGACTTTGGGCTTTCTATAAATCTGGATTCTTGAATCTAATTGAGTATACCATTTAAAATGTTTTTTAAGTTAAAAAAAAAAAAAAGCCTTACAAACTAAAATACATTAGAATATATTATATCCAGAGAAGGACAGTCAAGGTAAGAGAGCAGAGAAAATCTGTGTCCATGCTGTGAACAGTTGAAAGGATGTAAAATGGATTGCCCAGGAGACGAAACTGAAGAAGGATACAATGCTTCAGGTGTTTGAGCACAACAGTTATATGGAAGAACAAATAACATTATTTCTGGTTGCCTTAGGAAGCAAAATTAGAATGATGAATGAAAGTTATTGAAACACAGATTTTTAACTCAATTTAAGTCAAAACTTTCTAACAATACATGAAGCGCGAGTTAAATTATTCATCTATAAGTTCCCTTTCCATTCTTAGAATTCTTTGATTTATGTATTCGTTGTAGTGTGATAGTTGTTTTTTTTCCCAGCGTATTTACAGCACTATTGCTACCAAGAAATGAAAAATTTATTGCTGGAGCGCCTGGGTGGCTCAGTTGGTTGAGCATCTGACTTCGGCTCAGGTCATGATCTCACACACAGTTCCTGAGTTTGGGCCCTGCGTCCGGCTCTGTGCTGTGTCAGCTTCAGATTCTGTGTCTCCTTCTCTCTCTGCCCCTTCCCTGCTCGCGCTCGTCTCTCTCTCTCGACAATAATAAACACTTTTTTAAAAAAGAAAAATTTATTGCTCACCATCTTTGAGATATTAAACCCTTTTCACTCGCATTAATTTTTTTAGCTAGCCTCTAAGCTTGGAAAGCAGTGGACCCCATTAATAATCCTGGCCAACTCTCGTAGTGGAACTAACATGGGAGAAGGGCTGCTGGGAGAATTTAGGATCCTCCTAAACCCAGTCCAGGTAACTAAAGAGAAAACTTTCCTTCTGTATTAATATCATGCTTAGCTTTTCATTTTCCTTAAGTTGTAATGGTGGTTAATGCTTCAAACCAGTCATCACTTGATTTTAGGAAAGAATTATAAAAGTATCAAGCCATCCAAATATATAGAGAAAGAGGTACTCTCATGGTGGGGACATAAAATGGTGCAGCCACTTTAGAAAAGTGAAGCAATTTCTTAAAAAGTTAAATATAAATTTACCCTACCACCTACCAATCCCATTTCTAGCAGTCTGCCCAAGGGAAGTGAAAGCATATGTCCCGCAGAGACTTTTATGCAAATGTTCATAGCAGCGATATTCATAATAGCCAAAAGGTGGAAACAACCTAACTGTCCATTCGCCAATAAGTTGATAGAACCAAATGTGTACCCACACAAGGGAGTATCACGCAGTGATAGGAAGGGACGAGGTACGATGCATACGTGCAACCATGAACGAACCTCAGAACCATGCTAAGTGAAAGAAGCCAGGTGCAAGGACCCTCGGGGTATGTCCCTTCTATGTGACCTGTCCACAACAGGCAGATGTACAGAAACAGAGGAGTGAGGCCAGGGCTGTAGAATGGGAGTGAGTGCACCCAGACACTGAGGGACCCTCTCGGAGCAGTGAAAATGCTGTAGACTGGATTGTGGTGGTTGCACAGCTCCGTAAACTGACTAAAAGCCATTTAATTGTGCACTTTAAAAGCGCATTTCCATATATATAAATTGTGCCTCAGTTTAAACAAGAAGAATAAAAGGATGGCAGCACTGAGTTTACGTGCTGGCTGCTTCTAGTTTGAAAAACATTTATAAACAACTCCTGCGACAATCAGAAACACAATAATTTTTTTCCTTCCCGTTTGTATTTTTCCCTTTCAACAATAGATACTTAAGGAAATTATAAAAGTAATAAAAAGGGAAAGAAAATCACCTGCAGTTTCCCCACACCAACATCGGTTGTTTTCATTTGTCCGTGTTCTTTGCATGCATTGTCTGTGCGTCTGCATATTAACATCACAGTAACAATACTCTAGATTTAAAATTTGTGTTGTTTTCAGTACTTAAAGAGCATTTGTCCCTGGTGTGATGTAGTCTTCATAATTACACCTGAAATGATGAAGATAATTAATTGAATGGATATGTCCTGTTTATCCAGGCTCCTGCTGCTGGAGATTGAGTTTGTCTCATAATTATACAACCATAAATAATGCCACACTGAATACCTTTGTAAACAGGCGTTTTCATTTTTTAAAATGTTTTCCTAGATCATTTACAGAATTAGAGGTATCAAGGGTCCTTGCATCTTTACATCATTGTATGTATGTTGCAAAATTACTTTCCAGAAGTGTGCACTAACTTGCACTAGTGATGGATTTGAAAAATCCACTATAAAATATGAAGTAATGTGCTAAGGGTGAACTTAGCACATTCTGGTTTCATGTGAACAGGAAGGAGGCAGTGTCGTGTAATGGATAGACTATAGGACTGAAGGTGTATGTCAACACTTAAGTATTGGGGGACTCACAGGCAAGTTATTTAACCTCCCTGCGCCTCAACTTCCTGGTCAGTAGAACGAGGCTTACTTGTGAGTAGGGCCAGCGTCCAGATGAGCCGCAGTATCAGCAGTCTGGCGCATCGCTAGGCGCTTCGTAGCCCGCGTTGTTCTCTAACCGCATCCATACTTATCTGGGGGGACGTCATCCTCACAGATGGAGGATAGTGTTGGATACAAATAAGTTTTCTTTTTCTTTCACTTCTAGGTTTTTGATGTAACTAAAACCCCCCCTGTGAAAGCCCTGCAGCTTTGCACTCTCCTTCCCTGTCACTCGGCCCGCGTGCTTGTTTGTGGAGGGGACGGCACGGTGGGCTGGGTCCTGGACGCAGTCGACGAAATGAAGATTAAGGTATCAACCTTTAAGACCTGCGTGCCCTTCGCAGAAGCAGTTCCGAGATAACGGATACAGTATTACGGTTACATTTTTTATTACGCAGATAAATATTAGAAGACATTGCCAATTTTGAACGTTATGATTAAGCAGTTCCTATAACCTTCAGCGAAACAACATACAGCTGTTATATTTGTGTCTCTCTTGCTTTGGTCTATAAGTTTTACCAAATAACATTACCCCACAAATCATCTGAAGAGAAAACTCCCAACACACGTCTTCCGTTTTCTAGGGACAAGAAAAGTACATTCCGCAAGTCGCAGTCCTGCCTCTGGGAACAGGCAACGATCTGTCCAATACCTTGGGCTGGGGCACAGGGTACGCGGGAGAGATCCCCGTCGCTCAGGTCTTAAGAAATGTGATGGAAGCAGATGGAATTAAACTAGATAGGTGAGTTTTACTTCCTCCAAAAGGTAGATTTCTGGAGCTTCGGTAATACTATTTGGTCTAAAAATGAAGACTTGAAGTAGTTACAAAATGTAACTTAAATGTAAAAGACTGTGTTAATTGTACTCATCCACGATGCTGGGGTTTTGTTATGTTATATGAGGACTGAAGTCACATTAGGTAGAGCACTCATCTCAAAATTTGTGTAGTCACTTAGGTGTGCTTATTTTTTCAAATGCTTTTTTAATAAAAGTACTTCATCTACAGGACTGCAAAGTTAAGTGGCAGTTAATTTGATTATAATTGCCTTTTTTTTTTAACTTCTGTATTTTAGATGGAAAGTTCAAGTAACAAATAAAGGATACTACAACTTAAGAAAACCCAAGGTATGTTTTCTGGGCCTCAGTTGCATGTGATTTCAGCACTCTTAACTAGTCTGTCATTTTATAGTGGATTTTTCAAATTCATCATGAGTGCAAGTTAGTGCCCATTTCTGGAAAGCAGTTTTGCTTTGTACACGTGTGGTGCAGCGGTGGGATACAGAGACGCGGTGCTTATTCCCTCTGGGGACCGGTTATGGAGCAGAAGAGAAACCCACGTGCTCAGCCCCCAGTTGGCCTGTAAAGAGGGCTGTGGGGGAAAACACGTTGTGAGTGCGGGTAGCGCCTCCCTGGCAGATCGGGCTGGAGAGGTTTCGGGGGAAGAGAGGGGTGAGGTGGCCCTTAAAAGGTAAACGCAATTTAGATGGACAGAGAAAGGAACAAAAGACTTTCCAGGCAGATGAAATCGATCCTGGGGACACAAATCATGGTTAGCAAATACTGCGGAGATCAGCTCTGTGTTTTCTAAAAGATACTCTGGGGGTGGAGTGAAAATAGCCTTGAAAATTGCATGAGGGCAAAATACGGGGACTTTTAGCAGGAAGACAGCAAAAACATTGTAGAGGTGGAAGTGATCGACCCTTGGCAGCTCGGTAGTAGAGCAAGAGAGAAAATACACGTTATGCCAGATTTCTGGTTGTTGCGGCTGGATGTGTGGGAATGACCGTAACCAGGATACAAAGAGAAAGAGTTTCAGGTTTGAGTAAGAGGAAAAGGAGTTAGATTGGGGGCATACCAGCCTTGAGGCTGTGGCACATTGGAAGGGGGTTGGAAATGCAGGCTTAGTTAGTGCTCAGGAACAAGACAGAGCTGGGGATGGAGACTGAGGCACTCATGCTGGGCTGGGAAATAAATTAAGCAAGGACCAACATCCTGGCTTGACACGGATAGAAACTGAGACCCTGGGGGTTGCAGTGAAAGTGAAAAGCAGGTGTAATGGGCATACAGGAGAAACCTGGGTGCAAAGTAGAGCCATTCTAGATGATAAGGTCTGAGGTGCAGCACATTACTCAGAAAAGCAAAGTGAAATTTATGTGGATTGTCATTGGCCTTTGAACCGAAGCTTTATTTATGGAAACTTCACTGGATAGGTAGCATCAGCTCTAAGTGAAATGTAAATGCAGAAAGCATTAAATTTTGATAAAGAACATAAAGACTGAGATTTAACAGATTACACATATGTAACAGGCTTAGATTGAAGCATATTGTAGTTGCTCATTCTTCCCCCTTTTCACAGGAATTCACAATGAACAACTATTTTTCTGTTGGACCTGATGCTCTCATGGCTCTCAATTTTCATGCTCATCGCGAGAAGGCACCATCTCTGTTTTCTAGCAGAATTCTTAATAAGGTGTGTTGGATAAAATAACATTTCCTGCTTATCACTGAAGGTACAGTAAAAATAGTTCAATTGTATCTAGCCCTCTTCCAAGTAGATTCAGATAGAACTTACTTACGGAAACGTTCACCTGCTCTGTTTTGTTATTGAAGTATTTTGTGGCTGTGACAAACTTCTTACAATTTGGAGAATGTTCCACAGCACATTCTGCTCCAGCAGCAACTAAGTGAAATTCACGATAGCCTATCTTACTTAAATGGCAACAAACATTGGAAAGAATTTTAGGCAGGCAGGATAAACTTTTGGTGAAGTCATGAACGAGAAAAACATAGATTCCTTTGGCTTCAGAAAGCTCCAAAATGCAGATGAAGGGAGAAAGGGAGCAGTTCGTTTGCCACGGCTTTTACCTACGCTCACCACTCTGACTCCTAGTACAAGTGATTCCTTTGGTGCAAGTTTCACTTTGGAATTGTTTTTTTTTTAATGGCTTTTGGTGATTGAGCAACAGGATGTAAAAATTTAATGCGAAGCGGTTTTGCTCCTGGTTTCAGTTTTACAAGTAGTTCACATTTACAAATAGTTACCTCTTACTAATATAATTACTAAGGCCGCAAGTGTTGCCGTTTGTACAATTAGTCATTAACATCTCAGAGCTTCCATCAACCTATTTTCGGAAGTGATTATAAGTGTCCTTTAGATGTGTCTCTATTCCTTTCATTAAGTGATCTCAAGTACTAGGAAAAGGTGGAGTTTTCTAATTTTGATACAGTATTTCTTTATAAAATGTAGCTTTTTGGACAAACTGGGAGAAAGCACCATTTAGGCACATGCTACTGAAAAATGGGCTACTTCAGCTCAGAAGTAACACGTCCTTTTTCCCCAGGAGAACCTAGTCCACTGTAAGCAAGCAAGGCTCGATGATCACGTCAGGGATCGTTGGTTCAGTGTCTTATCTTGCTTACGAGCTCGTTAGGTTGCTTTAATATCCCATTTTCTGTCCATTTCTCCTAGGCTGTTTACTTGTTCTATGGAACCAAAGACTGTTTGGTACAAGAATGTAAAGATTTGAATAGAAAAGTTGAGGTAAGCTTTTAAAGTTTTAGGTGGTCTCTGGATTATAACCTTTTTTTAAGAAAAATGCTGAATTTTGTTAACATATTTTGCTAACATACATGGAATATTTATTGTGGGCCAGGCGCTTTACTGAGTGCTTCATACACATTATCCCACTGTGTTGTCACCACAATCCTACAAGTCAGGCACTACTCTGTTGCCATTATGCAGAAGAGAAAACTGTTTGAAATGAAGTAATTTACCCAAAGGCACACATAATCAGGATTTGAACCCAGGTTTATCTCCCTCCGGTCTGTTGAACTGATACTGAGCAGCTTTCCATTCACACTTGATGACAAATGTGAAGCAATCTTCACGTAGTACCCGACTCATCATGGACTCTCAGAGGAAGTTTAAATGCAAAGTTTATATGACAATTGTGATGTGTCTCTCTTCTATACAAAGCAAAGTCGAGATGTAGGAGCAGGAAAAACAGAATATTAATGAGTGCTTGTCGCTACAGTATCCCTGATGTCATGATACGGCAAAATCTTGTGTATATTCCTTGCTTGCTTCCAGAAAGAATCTGTAATGGTTAACAGCACCAACAAACACATTAATACAGAGAAACGTAAAAACTAGTAAAAAGAATAAAAGGGCAAGAGCTTAGGAAGAGAGAAAAGTGAGCAGGGAGTGTGAGGGGCCTGATGATACGTATGCCGGGCAATTAGGCTAACGCTGAGCTCACACGCTTTGCGGCCACAGCGCAGGAGGAATGGCAAGATTTGCCATAAAAAAAGTTCCTTGCCCTTTATTACATTTGCTTCATCCTGGGCTTTGATAACCTTGGCGGAATGGGCAAACATGCTAACGCTTTATTGTTTTGTGTGATATTTTATTTATACAAAAGTTATTTGTGAAGCCACCTACACGATGCCAGGCACTGTCCTAGGTACTGGGGATCCAGTGATAAATCCCTTGCTCTCACTGAGTTTACAGTGTAGAGGGAAAGAAAACATTTAAAGCACACTGCAGGATAGTGTGACAGGTGACATGATCAGGAAATCTTACAAGAATAAATAAGGGTAGTACATAACCCAGGGGCTGGAGAGACTGTCTAGGGAAAGTGACTGTAACATGTCTTTCTGAAAGAAGTGATGAGCTGGAATCTGAACATTAAATAAGAGATAGCTGAATGAAAAAGAAGGTGGAAATTGTTCTCCACTAAGAAGCATATGTGCAGAGGCCCAGAGGTGAGACAGAACATGGTGTATTCGAGGGAGCTCCAGCTGGAGGATAGCTCACAGGAGGGACAGAGCAGGAGCAGAGGCCAAATCTCAGAGGGGCCGTACTGGCCCGTGAAAGAACTTGGATTTCATCCTGAGCTCCAGTCAAGCGCAGAAGGGCTGCAGTCAGGATGACATATTTGCATTCCCTAAGTGCTCAATTTCCTGCTCTGAGAGCAATGAAGATGAGGAGAGACGGGCCAGGTAGGCACCTGCAGGGCAGAGGTGAGGGTGTGCTGGACTTGGGACTGTCCGGAGTGACGGAGAGGGGAGGTGCTTGAAAGTAGAGGGTAAAGGCGAGGAAATCAAAGATGACCCCAGGTTTCCGGCCCAGGCACCTGAGGCCCACGGGGGTGCTCTTTCCTGGGAGGTAGACAGTAGGGGCCGCAGGGAAGATGCTTTGCGTTAACCCAGTCTTGCGCCCAGCAGTTGCAGGTGCCACCACTGGTTGGAACCATTTTATGGGCAGTAGGATCCACAGATCTGGCCCGGTTCACTGTCCTGGACCAGCAAGATAGAGCTGTCAGCGCTGAGATGGCAGTTAACGACATGGCACTGGCTTTTTCCTCCGGAGTCTGTGGCCCGAGAAGAGAGCAGAGCCTAGAACATAGCTAGAGGCGGGAGGTGGAACTCAGCAGTGACCGAGGAGGAACACCCAGAGGAGGAGGGTCTGACTCCCAGAAGTGAAGGGAGGGAGTAGTTCAGGAAAGGGTGTTGGGTGCCACTGAAACAGTAAATTGGGTAAGGCCTGAAAAAGATGAGATTAACAAAAACTGTGTCATTTTACCTTAGTTTAAAAAAAATGAAGTTGTTATAATTAATGTAATAACCACTGAACAGATGGGAAAGGCTGATTCCTGGGGCAGGGGGTGGGGGGGAGCGGGTAGGAAATAGTCTTCTCTACATGTGTGTCTGTCACATCCTGTATGTGTGCGGATGGAGGTGAACCCTTGGTGGAAGTGTGCAGAAATAGTATGCCCTGTAGTAATTCACTACTTGCGTTTCTTTAAAGCTAGAACTGGATGGTGAGCGAGTAGAACTGCCCAATTTGGAAGGTATTATAGTTCTGAACATCGGCTACTGGGGCGGTGGCTGCAGACTGTGGGAAGGGATGGGAGATGAGACTTACCCTCTAGCCAGGTATGTACATTTATGATTGGGTTTTTTATGACACTGTTTTCTTTAAAGCAGTCTGTTTTGGGGGCTCCTGGGTGGCTCAGTCACTTAGGCATCCAGCTCTTGATCTCAACTCAGGTTATGGTGTCATGGGTTCATGAGATCGAGCCCCACGCCCAGCTCTGCACTGTCAGCTTGGGATTCTCTCTCACTTGCTCTCTGCCCCTCCCCTGCTCACATGCACGCGCGTGCTCTCTCTCTCTCTCTCT